GCTGAGTCAGGAGCCCGATGCGGGACTCGATCCCGGGACTCCAGGATCATGACCTGAGCCGAAGGCAGTCGCTTAACCGACTGAGCCACCCAGGCGCCCCGGAAAAAGAATATTTCTGCGTATTTGCTTAACTTCCCAGGAAGAAATCCAGAAAGGAAGCCGAAGACAAATGAAAGTGTTTCCTTGGAGGAGTGGGAGGACGGGATAGGGACAGTTCTGAATGTACTTTTTTTTTTTTTTTTAAAGATTGTATTTATTTTCTAACAGAGAGAGACACAGCGAGAGAAGGAACACAAGCAGGGGGAGTGGGAGAGGGAGAAGCAGGCTTCCCGCTGAGGAGGGAGCCCAATGCGGGGCTCTATCCCAGGACCCCGGGATCATGACCTGAGCCGAAGGCAGACGCTTAACGACTGAGCCAGCCAGGCGCCGCCCTAATGTACTTCTTTTAAAGTTTCATTTTGAGTTTTCAATGGTGTAAATGCTTAGCAAGTTCAAAAAATGAAATTAGATAAATAAGTCTGAGAAAAGCAAACCCCCAAATTAAGCGCAAATCAGAAAAGAAACCTGCATGCATTGCAGATGGATGGGCACGAAGGCGGTGGGACGCAGTCCAAGGACCAAAGGAACTGCAGGGAGACTCCCACCTCATGAATTGGTGCGGTGTTCCCGCCACCATCCGGCGTGTATCCTGCAGCAGGCAAACGAGCAAATGCGTTGCTTTTGTGTGGGACCCGGGTTCTCACTATGGGAGAGAACGGCTAAAGTAACAGAATTGGGGAGGACGAGGAATGACCCTGTCATGCCACAGTCACACTGGAGACTTTCATGTGAACTCTCCCTTCCTGCACAAATATCCTACCTGCCAAAGGGGCTGGAGGAGCAGCAGCCTGGCCGCAGGGAGCACCCAGCACCCAGACCCTATCTCATGTATGTGTCCCGCTGAAAGGAACCAGGGCTCCCCACAGGAATGTTCGACTGCAGGTCCGGCTCAGGGAAGGTACGAGGTAAGCCGGGAACATCTGGTTGTCCAGAAGGCAAGGATGCACTCGAAGACGGATGGTGACACTTGAAAGGAACAGGAGCTCCTGCCAGCCAAATGCAGCACCTCCAACGGTTTTTAAAAAGTGATGAGGAGGGGGCCCTGGTGGCTCAGTCGGTGATGCATCCGCCTTCGGCTCAGGTCATGATCTCAGCGTCCCGGGATGGAGTCCCGCTTCGGGCTCCCTGCTTGGCGGGGATCCTGCTTCTCCCTCTCCCTCTGCCTGCCACTCCCCCTGCTCGTGCTCAAGCTCACTTGCTCTCTCTGATAAATAAATAAAATCTTTAAAAACTCATGATAACAGGGATGCCTGGCCAGCTCAGTCAGTGGAGTTGTGCAACTCTTGATCTCAGGATCTTGAGTTCGAGCCCCATGTTGGGCGTGGAGATTTCTAAAAAAAAAAAAAAAAATGAACTTTAAAAAACAAAACAAACACATTAAAAAGAAAAGTCATGATGGTAAAAATGGACTATAATGCATTGCTTTGGGGAAACAATTCATGCATTCACGACACCACTCCAGAAGAGGGAGAATACGGCATTCTCTACAAGAGACCACGCACTGGTAGATGTAGAAGGAACAATTCAAATATCACCCCAGATCACCCGCTCATTCAAATGGGAAATCTGCTTGTACTGCTGTGAACTCCCAGGAGTGATAGAACCTAGCGGAACCAGAAATGAGCATCACTTATGTAATACTCTCTTAAAAGCCTTGATGTGAATCTAATCATGCAGAGACAGACAAGTCCCTTGCAGGCCGTCCACAAAGACGACCGGCCTGAGCTCTCCCACACACCGGTGTTCAGCGTGGGTGGGGGTTCTGGATCAAATGAACGCCAAGGAGCCCGAGTAAATGCGATCTGCGCTCCACGGTGGGACCTGGTCCGAGGCCGTTGGAGCACAATGTGGAGAAGAGCGATAGACAGTTGGGGGGTGGAGTGGGGACATGTATGAGGTCATCTTTCTGTGTCAAAGAACTGCTGGGTGTGTTGATGTCACTCCGGTTGTATAGAAGCCCGAAGGTCTTGGGGGATCTATGCTGACGTATTTAGGGATAAAGTACCATGCGGTCTTCTAGCTTTGAAATGGGGGGGAAAAATGTATAATCAGAAAAATCAAGCAAGTGGAAATGTTAATTGGTGAGTCTGGATGAAGGCTGTATGGGTATTCATCATGCCACTTCCTCAACGTGGGTTTGAAATTTTTCAGAGTAAAATCTTGGGGTGAGGGACATGCAGGCTGCTGTGGCCAGGGGAAGCGTGGTGGGGTCACTGCCATCCGACCAGAGCCTTGAGAAGCAGGGAGAGAGGGTGGGGGCTGTCGCCAGCAGCGGCAGAGTGAGCACACCGGGGCCCTGGGCAGTGAGGTGGGAATGACAGGTCCCCATCGGGGACCCAGAGAAGGCCACTGCAGGGGAGCGGAGACGGGGATGTTGCAGTCATCCAGGACTGTGGCTGGAAGCCACGGCCGGCCGTGGTGGCACAGGGCTTACTGAGAAGCCGGGCCGGCCATCTGCCTCGCGGCTGCCATTTAGCAAGCTCCAAATTCGGGGGTGAGTCTGCACTCTTCCCGGGCCTTCCCCACACCCATCAGGTGCAGGTGTAGGCCGATTGGAATCCGATCTCTGCTGCCGCATTTCCATGGGAATGTCATCAGGAAGAGGGGAGCCCGCGTCAAAGTGCTCTCTTCTCTGACGGCCCCTATTTCATGCCAAACTACATTCCTCCCACCTCCCTCCGCCCTCGTCTCTCAGATTTTAACCTTGCCGTGGTCTCCCTCAGCGTCTCTGCTCAGGCTCAAAGCCCAGCAGGCCCCACAGCCTGGGGGGGGGGGTTCTCCATCCAGCTGAGCTGCCGCCCCAGCGTGTCCTCCTCCGCTTCTGTGCTGGGTTTCCCTCCGTGAAGCTCTCAGAGGGAAAATGTCCTGCTGGAGTGACTCTCGTCCATGCCCCGGATGCCCTCCACAGCCTCGTGGGCCTTTGATTATATGCAGTAGCGCTCGGCCGGCTCACGTGCAGAGCAGAGCAGGTTGAGAGCTCCCCGCTGCCAGGCTTTGAGACCGGCCTGGGAAGCCAGTGGGCCGCAGAGGCCAGCGGCGGCCAGGAGGAGGCCCGAGCTGTCCCAGATGAAACGGGCTTTCTCCTGAGCTGGCGAGGAGGAGGAGTTCCCGCCTGTGTGCGGTCACCCAGTGGTGGGTTGTGTGGATCCGGCCAAAGACAGCAGATGAGCGGCTGGAATAGAAGGCCTATCGGGGTGGGGGCCCCCGTGTCTGTGCGGAAGTTCTCTACGTTCGCCTCACCCTCTCGCTGCGTGACTGCGCCTCATGTTTGTGCCTTGGCAGCGCCGTCCGGTAGGACTCTCTGCGGTGATGTGCACGGTCCAGGGGCTGTGCTAGCCACGAGCCACATGTAGCTTTAAAGACCTTGAGACATGGCCTGCGCAGCTGAGAAACTGAATCTTCAGTGTTATTTCGAGTGTAAATTTGCATAGCTCCGTGTGGCTGGTGGCTGTCAGATAGCAGGGGTCTGGATGCTGGGACACCGTTTTCAGTTTTCACGGAGCATAGGTGACAGGCCGCGGCTCAATGATGACCGCACATGCGTCTGTTGCAGAACGGTCGCCGCGGCGAGTGCAGTTACCGTCCGCACATTCTAGAACACTTACTGCTGAACTCAGGGGAGGGCCCGCTGTGGGTGGAGCGGTCGGGTCATTTGACGGCCGGAAGTTGGAGCTGCTGGCTGTGCCCCCTCGTGTCTGGCTTCCAGACGCGGTACCAGCCGTGGGGTAGGAAGGACATCCAGGGGGCAGGCCCAGTATGGGCAGAGGCAGGAGCCAGAAACCAGAGCAGGTGAAGGACCGTAGGCAGACCAGCAATGAGCTCCCTGAGCCCCGCCGTGGTGGGCCCACAGCCACCCCTGGGCAGCCCCGCAGTCGGGAGGAGGCGGTCCCCTGTGCGTCCCTGCCTCTGCGGCACCGTGGTCCCAGGGGCTGTGGGAGGACCGGCAGGAGTCTCTGCTGCACGCCGTGGCCCAGCTTCCCCGAGGACCATAGCGAAGCTCTGCAAAGGTTCCGGGCAGCAAGGTGCATTTTCGCAGGGTGACTCCCCTGCGCCCTGGCTGGTTTCTACTCCCAGGCCCTTCTGAGCTCCGTTGTGGCTTTTTTTGAACCAGCCCACTCCAGTGTCTTGTCTGGTTTATGTCTTGTTTTGTTCTGTTTTTCTTCCTCCTTTCCTGCGTCTCTCTCCTGGGCTCCGCGCTCTGTTCTTCCCTGGTGTCCTCTCTCTCTGATCCAAAGATCAGCCAGTAAGAAGCAGTCTCACCTGTCCAGGTAAGAGGGGTGCCAGGTGAGGGGGAAAAGACCCCCCTCTTTAATTGTAAAAGTGATTTATGTTGTGTTGTATGTATTACTTGAAGCAACCGCACCTTCACACGACTGAGAACGTAAAGGGTACATTCAAGAACGTGAGAAGCTTGTAGCTCCAACCCTGTGTCCCGGGTACCCAGGATGCGGGTTTCTCTTGTGTCCTCCCAGAGTTGTTTCAGACATTCTGTGCGCATGCAAACAAGTATGGAAACACATAGAAACAAATAATTCCCTGTGCACATAATTCCGCTCCTTGTCGTCTTCACTCTGCAACACATCCTGAGGCCGTTGCTTTCCGCTCCCAGCTTACACCTTGCACGCAGCTGAGCGCCCTGCAGTCACACTGCGGTTTAGGGAACCGGCCGCCCGTGGGAACAGTTACAAGAGTCTGTGCTTTGCCCCTGCACACAGTGCCTCCATGAATATTCTACCTGGTCATTTGCTGTAGATATGCCTGGGAGACCCCCTCGGAGGGGCAGCAGGTACACTCTTCCGGAAAGGAGAGGCATGGCAATGATCGAGCTTACCCCACTCCTGCAGGGGACCTGTTCAAGACAAGATCGGGTGGTAAATCTGGTTTGGTAACCTGGGGTACCTTGTTGGTTTAGGGTCTTAACAGTTGCTAAGCAATGTGCCTCAGGCTGGCTGCCGGCAGGGGGTGGATGTGAGTTGGAATACTACCACCAGACCAGCCAGACTCCTCCCATAGCCCACGGGATAAGTGGCGTGTTCAGAGGCTTGGGCCATTGCCCTGCTCTTCCTATCTAGAGAAGTGTATGCTAGTTACCCAGCAGGTTAGTATCAAATGTCCAGTTACCCTCCTGGAGACACCGGTTTGGAGGGGGACGGCAAGACGAAGTCCGAGTGGGGGAGGCCTTCTGCTGCACCCACCACCATCCTCTGCTGGGTGCACGTGGGTCTCCGTGTGGTTTTGACCCTCCACAATCTTGCTCTCCAGTCTCCCTTTTCTTTGCAAATCATCGCCTAAAACTAACTAGCTTTTTTGTTTTTTCCTTTTTCTTGCATTCATTTTCTCTGCTGCTTCGTTCTGTTCCATCAGCCCCATTGCAGCCTGGTAAGACCCAATAAGCGTGTGTGTCTGTGCACATCCCGTCCTTTGCACTGTCTCTTTGTCTCCTGACTCCAGGGAGGGCTCTTGCCCTTCACGCCTTGCTGGGTATCAAAGAGATCATGCTTGCCTTGCCAGCCCAGGATTCCAAAGAGGCGGTGTTGGCAGTGGTGTAGGCCTGGCTAATCTCCCACCAGACTCAGCGGGTTCTGGGTGAGAGGGTTGGCCTCTCTTTACCCAAGACTCGGGGCCCCTTTTACCAGCACCTAAGGCTGGCCCCTCCCCTCCCAACTCACCAATGTGCTTTCCTTATTACCCTCCAGGTTAAGTAGCCTGTCTTTGGGAGAGCCGGCGCCTGAACGCAGGTCCCCTTCCCACCTCCGCCAGCCCTCCGATGCCTCTGAGGCAGCAGGTAAACTTGGGGCATTAACACATTGACACAGATGTGAACACCCACACAGACAGATTTTAGCTTGTATTATTGAGCTTGTGATATGTGGTAGGCATGACGTTGCATGTTTTATATCAATTAGCTCATTTGTCCTTCTGTCAGTCTAGAAAGTAATGTTATCCTGCTTTACAGATGAGGAAGCTGAGGCACAGAGGGTTCAGAAACTTGCCCCAGTGCCCAAGCACAGAGGGGACAGAGGCAGGGCCTGAAACCCGTCGGGTTCTAGCTCTGGAACTCACGCTCTGTCCCCCGCAGGAGGTGGTCATACGTCGGCAGGCGCGTGTGACGTCTGGTTCACACCCCCAGGGATGGGGCCGGCTGGCAGTCACAGCCTTCTTTCTTTTCCTCTACGTTCTGTGCGTGGACATACGTTTTCTCTTCCCACGCACTCTTTCCTGGATTCGGCAGGGCCAGCGTGGGTGTCGTACCTGCCGCGCCCGTTGAGCTTCATTTGATGGAAATTCGGCCTCCCTTGGGCTTCAGTCACAGGGCTGCTTCTCTGTCACACCTCTCTTAAGTGGGGCCGCGCCCTGCCCCTTCTCTGGCCGGCCTCACCTGGCCAGAGCCAGAGAGACAGACCCGAGCAAGAGAGACGGCTCGGTGCTGGGAGGAGGGTCAACCCTCAGGTGGAACGCAGAGTCGGTGACAGGGTCTGTCACTCACCAAGCATAGTGTTTGGACAGGAGGAGTCTGGGGAATCGGTTAGTCTGGAAAGGCTTTCTGGGCCTTCCTGGGCTGGTCCGAGCTCGTACGCACCAACCTTCCAGCAACTGTGCCTCCCTGACCCCTTCTTTCTTTGTCACCTCTTGTCAGGTCTTGTTCAGCGCTGTGTCATTATCCAGAAGGACCAGCATGGCTTCGGCTTCACGGTCAGTGGGGACCGTATCGTTCTGGTGCAGTCTGTGCGGCCTGGTGAGTGCTGCCTGCCCGTCCATACACGGCAGCCACGTGTGCACAGCCGAGTGTGCAAGAGCCGCGTGTTCATAGCCAAGTGTGTGAGAGCGCGTGTGTGCAGGCGAGTGTGTGAGAGCGCGTGTGCGCAGCCGCGTGTGCAAGAGCCGCCTGTGTGCAGGCGAGTGTGCGAGAGCTGCGTGTGTGCCGCCGTGTGTGTGCAGCCAAGTGTGAGAGCCGCGTGTGTGCCGAGCGTGAGAGCCGCGTGTGCGAGAGCCGTGTGTGTGCAGCCGAGTGTGCGAGAGCCACGTGTTTGTAGACAAGTATGTGAGAGCGCGTGTGTGCAGCCGAGTGAGAGCCACGTGTTCATAGCCAAGTGTGTGAGAGTGCATGTGTGCAGCTGAGTGTGCAAGAGCCGCGTGTTCATAGCCAAGTGTGTGAGAGCGCGTGGGCGCAGCCGCATGTGCAAGAGCCGCCTGTGTGCAGGCGAGTGTGTGAGAGCGCATGTGTGCAGCCGCGTGTGCAAGAGCCGCCTGTGTGCAGCCGAGTGTGCAAGAGCTGCGTGTGTGCCGCCGTGTGTGTGCAGCCAAGTGTGAGAGCCGTGTGTGTGCCGAGCGTGAGAGCCGCGTGTGCGAGAGCCGCGTGTGTGAGAGCCGCGTGTGCGAGAGCCGCGTGTGCGACCGCCGTGGGAGCCAGAGAACGTGCGTGTGGCGGGTTCTGGGCATGAATGCCTGGCTCTAGACCTGGTCCCCGGGGGCGTCTGGGGACGTCTCCAGAGCTCGGCGCCACTGGACAGGATTTCTAGGGGTCATGCTTGATGCTCTCCGGCTGGGAAGGGGAAGAACAGCAGAGTGGCCCTCAGGACGTCAGGGAGCCCCTCGCACTGGGTCAGAAGACGCTGTGGCGGATCAGAGACCCCACTTTACAGTTGGGGATGATGCGCCGGCCCAAGCGGTTGCCTGCGATCTTAAATGGTAAATGACCAAAGGAGGAGTGACGAGTGACGAGTGCGGGACAGCAGGGAGGAGGCGGCGTCGAGAAATCGGCAGTTTGCGGCTGAAGCCTCCCTGGAAGACGTGGGATTTCAGGAATAGTCTGGAAGGGGGGAGTGAAGACTCGCTGGCAGGCTAGGAAGCGGGTGGGAGGGCCTGTTCGCAGGCCGGTCCAGGTCGGTCCAGCCAGCGCTTACGGGCGCCCTCGGCTGACGCTGGTGAGCAGGAAGGAGTGCGGAAGCGTGTGAAGCAAGTGTCCCTAAAAGGAGTGAACTTCAGTGATGGGGCTGGGCGGCGACTTGGAGAGCGTCACGGGCTCACGGCGGCGGCGTGGCGGGCTCGGTCCCAGACCGCCACAGTAAAGCAAATAGCGCCGTAAAGCGAGTCACACACGTTTTGGTTTCCAGGTGCGTGAGGTGAGCCACACCGTGGTTTGCCATGTGCGGTGGCATTAGGTCTAAAACCACGACACACGAGCCTTCGCGAAAAGCACCTTCTTGCTCATCAGCCGGTCACAGCCTTTGTGCCGGCGGCGGTCTCGCCTCGGCGTCGGTGGCTGCCGAAGCGGCAGTGGCCGTGGGAGTCTCCGAACATCAGACGGTGAAGTTTGCGGCATCAATGGGCCCCTCCTTCCGTGGACGATGTCCCGCAGCACTTCTCAGAGCTGGAGCCGGTCCTCTCCCACGCTGCCTCTGTGTGATCCGCTAGGTTTGTCCAAAATCCGTCGAGGTCATGGCCGCGGTCTTCACAGCATCCCCTCCAGGAGGAGCTCCCCCATGGGGAAAGCACGTGCTTGGCTCCTCCTCCGTAAGGAGAGCTCCACGTGCGTTCAGATCACACCCTGAGATCGCAGCAGTTCTGTCCCACTTCCCGCCCCCTGCTGTTTCCACATCTGCGGCAACTTCTCCAGTGAAGCCCGGAACCCCACACGGTCCTCCACGAGGGCTGCAGTCAGCCTCCAAACCCCTGTGAATGTTGATACTTGGACCTCTTCTCACAAACCATCAATGTTCTCAATGACATCAAGGATGACGAATCCTTTCCAGAAGGTTTTCAGTTGACTTTGCCCAGATCCATCAGCAGAATCATCTATGGCAGCTGTGGTCTCACAAAGTGTATTTATCAGATAATAAACTGGAGTCGGGACGCCTGGGTGGCTCAGTTGGTGAAGCGTCTGCCTTCGGCTCAGGTCATGATCCTAGCATCCTAGGATCGAGCCCCGCATCGGGCTCCTTGCTCAGTGGGGAGTCCGATTCTCCCTCTGCCTCTGCCTCTACCCCTGCTTGAGCTCTCTTGCACACTGTCTCTTTGACAAATAAATAAATAAAATATTAAAAAAAAAAAAAGACTTGAAAGTCGAAATGACTCATTGATCCATGAGCTACAGAGTTGGCGTTGTGTGGGCAGGCATGAAAACAACACTCCTCTCTTGTCCGTCTGTCAGAGCTCAGGGGCGGCGGGGGGGGGGGGGGGTGCTTTTTTTTTTTTTTTAAGTAGGCTCTTCGCCCAACACGGGGCTTGAACTCACAACCCGCCATCAAGACTTGCATGTTCCATGACTGAGCCAGCCAGGATCCCCTGCTGGGTATTTTGAGAGGGATCTGTTTTCCGAGCAGGTCTCAACATGGACTTCGGACATTCAGTCAACCCTGTTGCAGGCAGACGAGCCGTCATCCGGGCTTGGCTGGGCCATTTCCAGAGCACAGGCGGAGCAGAGTCAGCATCACCCCGAAGGGCCCTGCGATGTTCGGAACGGTCAACGAGCGTGGGCTTCACTTAGAGTCTCGGCGGCCTTAGCCCCTAACGAGAGAGGCAGCCTGTTCTCTGCAGCTTGGAAGCCGGACACTGACCCCTCCTCTCCAGCCATGAGGGCCCCGGATGCATCGTCTTCCCGTTCAAGGCGGTCTCGTCCACGTGGCAAGTTGGTCGGTCACGTAGCCGCCTCCAGGAATTCTCTGAGCTACACCTTCTGGGGACCCTGCTGCTTCACCGGCCACTTCTGTGTTAGAGAGACGGCTTCTTTGCCGACACCCCACAAAGCAGCCCCTGCCGGCCCCAGGCTGCGTTCCCGCAGCTCCGACCCAGGCTCGGCCTTCCCGCTGGGGCCTTGCTCTGGACTCGACTTCGGCAGAAGGGGGTGTGTGGCTGCTCGAATGCTCGGTCCACACCGCCGCGACCCTGTCCACGTCAGCAGCAGGCCGGCTCGCTTCTCCTCGGCCTGTGTGCGCACCGGCATCGCACTTCTAATTTCCTCCGACGACTCTTCCTGTGCGCTCGCAGCTCGGCTGACCGTTGGCGCGAGAGGCGCAGGCTTCCGGGCTGTCGGCTCTGGACACGCCTTCCTCGCTAAGCTTCACCCCTGCTCGCCTCTCACTGCCAGCCCCGCACGTGCGACTCTTGCCCTCACCCGACGCTTCGAGGCCGTCGTAGGGTTATTCACCGGCCTCATGTCCGCACCGCCGTGGCTCAGGGACGAGGGAGGCCCGCGGGGAGGGAGAGAGACGGGGGCGCGGCGCTCGGCGGAGCCGTGGTCACACACGCACTGGGTCAGTCGGCCGTCTTATGTGGGTGCAGCCTGCGGGGCCCCCGCACAGTGACGCTGGCGCATCAGCGATCGCTTGGCACACGTCACCATAAACGTCGAATAATGGAAGAGTTTTAGATACTGTGAGAATCACCGGACCGTGAGAGAGACGGGAAGTGAGCACCTGCTGTCGGGGCACCGGGCCAACGCGGGGTTGCCCCAAACCTCCCGTTTGTAAAAACCCAGCGGCGGCGAAGCACCCCACGGCCGCGCGCGGCAAAACGAGGAAGGAGGTCGGGAGCAGGCCAGCATTCCACACTCAGTACATTGCAAAATGGGAAGAAAAATATTGGTAGTTTTGGGAAATAGTTGGGATTTGTTCATGGGGAAGGTGAAAGGAGACTTTCAGATTTATGACCCAAACGAGGTATGTGGGTCGCAGGAGGATGTAAATAGTCGCAGCTTGTGTGTTTGTGAGTTCCCTTGGGTCTGTGGCAGGCTTGTCTTCCTGTCTGAGGATGGAGCTCCAAAGAGATGCTTCTGTTCTCTGCTTCCCTCATTCTCCCTGTTCCCGGACTGGAGAGATGGCGGCTTGGTGGATGGACTGGGTGGCCAGAGGCTTGAGCACAGTCAGACCCGGACACAAAATGGCAGAAAGGTGGCTTGCCAGGGAAACCGGAGTTTTGGAAAGTGTGTGTCTGTCTGTCTGTGTGTGTCTGTGTGTGCACGTGCATGCGCGTGTGTTTGGGCGAGAAGACACGGAGAGACGACATCTGCGTCAGCATTGACCTCACAGGAGTAACGAAGTGGTTGTTACTGTCTCTCCCTGACGTGAGTCTCCTCTAGCTCACTGTTTCTCAGAGTGTGGTCGGTGCCGACAAGAGAGTCTCCCGGACCCCAGGGGGTGGGGGCTGCCGTCCTTGTCCCGAGGCCACGCCCAGAAGGACTGAATCACCCTCTGGCAAGGGGGCCAGGGGACGTGCCTTTGAACAAATTCCCCCAGTTATCCTCGTGCTCACTGAAGTCGGAGAACTTCTCTGGTTCCTTTACTCTGGAGACTGCTTTTCTTTGCAAAATCAGGCGAGACAGCGCTTTCCCACCTTTGGTTTCCAGACACAGCCTAGAGTGCTTTAAGCTCCTCACAAGTGCTCTTCCGTAAATAGCAGGCTGCAGATGGGGGTGTAATACTGAGTCCCTGGGTTGAAACCGAACTTGGAATGCATCTCCACTGTAGAAGCTCCTTTTAGACCAGAAGCATCTATATGTGCTTCGTGGGAGTTTTGTTTTGATCAGACAAATGCAGCTTACGGATTGAATGATCATCTGGGGCAGATTCACCAAAACACAGTCTGTATGCCACTTGTTAGCTTGCTTTGGCTCTCGTGCTGCTTACGCTTCGTCGATGTGAACCAGACCAGGACTGAGTCATTAGAAACCACACAGCGGTCACGGTGCTGTGGCCTCCAGCCGAGGGACGGCCTCCAGTAATGCACAGCAGGAGCTCCGAATCCCGCCCCTTTTAAAGGGAGAAACGGGGCACCCGGGCGGCTCAGTCAGTTAGACGTCTGCCTTCGGCTCACGTCATGATCTCCGGGGTCCTGGGACTGAGCCCCGCATCGGGCTCCCTGCTCAGCGGGGAGTCTGCTTCTCCACCTGCTTGTGCTGTCTCTCACTCTGTCTCCCAAATAAATAAAATCTGTTAAAAATAAATAAAAGGAGAAACTGCAAAGGGTCTAAAGCAAATTTTTTTTAAAGATTTTATTTATTTATTTGACAGATACATAGCGAGAGAGGGAACACAAGCAGGGGGAGTGGGAGAGGAAGAAGCAGGCTTCCCGCTGAGCAGGGAGCCCGATGAAGGGCTCGACCCCAGGACCCTGGGACCATGACCTGAGCTGAAGGCAGACGCTTCACCGACTGAGCCACCCAGGTGCCCTGGGTCTAAAGCAAATTTAAACAGACG